AAAAAAAAAAAAAAAAGATTTTGTCTTATGCTTTCCCAAGATTTCTAATGCAAAGCATTGCAGCTGGTCTTCACCATCACAGCTTTAAATAATAAACCCAGGGCTGCATTTGCTGTGTTGCATGAGTTCAGGAATCCGATGGAATCTTTCCATGGCACTAACTATTACCATGGGATATTGTCATTAGTTACTAGTAGGCAATATATGTAATCCTGATGGACTTTACCCAGCTTATGAAGGGAGACTGGGTTTGATCTTCTGGAACTTCTTTCTCTAAGTATGTTTAAGAAAAGTATTAACATAAAGACCATTGGATGAGAGGTTATTGGGGGATAAGATGCTTTTATGGTACGAAGTAATACCTTCAGATTACTTGCAAAATTTAAAATATACCTTTTCAGTGAAGAGATCTAGTAATCACCACTCTTTAAAAGTGATTTAACCTTAATAGTAGGGATTGGCATTCTGACATTTGTGGTGCACCTTGGAATTCATATAGTAAGAAATTCACAACATCACCTGTGCTGTGTGTTATTTTTGCCAAAAGTATTTAATAATCTTGAGGAAATAGACAAATCTAGCATGTGGGACATAGTATCAGGCATCTGCCTAGATTCTTAAAAAAAATTGTGAAAAACAAGTAGGGCAGAACGAATGTTTTAGAATAGACAAACAAGGAAAAATGACCAAATGCAAGGCCTGAGTCTTGATTGGGTCCTGGGTAGAAAAAGGAAATGTTGAAAGACACGTTTGGAGCAGGTAGGGAGATTTGCATGTGAACTGTATGTTGGGTGATATTGAGTCAATACTGATTTTCTGAGACATGGTAATGGCATGTGTAGGGTCAGGAGGCTTGTCCTTAATCCTAGGCAGTGGTTACTCAGGTTTGTGGAGGTTTTACTTACAGACGATTCAGAAAGGAAAATGTACGCTCTTGTAGTGAGGAAAGCAAATGTGGCTAAACATGAATAATTGGTAAAGCAGGTGTTTATTCTTTTATCTTTTCTGTGGACTTAAAATTTTTCTTTTTTTTTTTTTGGAGACAGAACCTCAAGCTGTCCCCCTGGGTAGAGTGCCGTGGCATTACAGCTCACAGCAACCTCCAACTCCTGGGCTCAAGCGAGTCTCCTGCCTCCGCCTCCCAAGTAGCTGGGACCACAGGCGCCCACCACAACACCCAGCTATTTTTTGGTTGCAGCCGTCATTGTTGTTTGGAGGGTCCGGGCTGGGGATTCGAACCCGCCACCTTAGGTGTACGTGGCTGGCGCCTTAGCCGGTTGAGCTATAGGCACCGAGCCTTAAAATTTTTCAAAATTGGCTGGGTGCAGTGATTCACAGCTGTGATCCCAGCACTCTCGGTGACCCACTTTGCAGGATCACTTAAAGCCAGGAGTTAAAGGCCAGCCTAAACAAGAGTGAGACTTCATCTGTATTAAAACTACATAGAAAAACAAAAATATTTGGCTGTGGTGGCACACACCTTAGTCCTAGCTAAATGGGGGGCTGAAGCAGAAGGGTCACTTGAGGTTGCAAATGAACCATGGTTATGCCACTGCATTCCAGCATAGTGACAGAGTGAGGCTGCCTTAAAAAAAAAAAAGAAATTGGGGGGGGGTGCCTGTGACTCAAGGAGTAGGGCACCAGCCCCATATACAGGAGGTGGCAGGTTCAGACCCAGCCCTGGCCAAAAACTACAACAAAAACAACAAAATTTTTTTTCTCTTTTCAAAATTAAAAGTTGGAAAATTTTTTAAAAGGAAAGCAATAGTAGTTGTTTAAACATGGTCTGTACCAGGGGTCCCCAACGACAGCCCGGGGGCCACATGTGGCCACTGAGGACATTTATTTGGCCGGCCCGGTGTTTTTGTCACCGTTGCCTGTCCTGCTTAGCAGCTGACTTGTCCCAGGGCCCGTAGTCCAGCCCTCCAATGGTCTGAGGGTCAGTGAACTGGCCCCCTGTTTAAAAAGTTTGAGGACCCCTGCTCTGTACTTTCATCTACTCCAGCTGTTCTCAACCTGTGGGTCGGTTGTGACCCACGGGAACCGTATTGATGCACTGTGTCCTTAGGAAAGTTGAGAACCACAGATCTAGTCCCTTGAAGAATCTATTTTACTTTTTCACATTCAGGTTTTTATCAATATATTTCTTCTGGCAATGAATGTCATGAAAAAATTAGAGACTTAATTATAAAATAAATTTTATTCAGATTCTTCTTTCCTTTTTTTAAACTGTTAATCTCTTTTCAGAATCCATCTACCGGAGAGGTGCTCGCCGCTGGAGAAAGCTGTACTGTGCAAATGGCCACACTTTCCAAGCCAAGCGTTTCAACAGGGTAAAACTTAGTTTGTTAAATGCTGATAATCTGAGATAGCTATTTTTTTCCTTTTTGCTGTGAAAGAACGGTAGTTTTGTTATTAAGTCCTTTTACTCCCAACCGGCTAAGGCGCCAGCCACATACACCTAAGGTGGCGGGTTCAAATCCCCAGCCCGGACCCGCCAAACAACAATGACGGCTGCAACCAAAAAATAGCCAGGCATTGTGGCGGGCGCCTGTGGTCCCAGCTACTTGGGAGGCGGAGGCAGGAGACTCGCTTGAGCCCAGGAGTTGGAGGTTGCTGTGAGCTGTAATGCCACGGCACTCTACCCAGGGGGACAGCTTGAGGCTCTGTCTCAAAAAAAAAAAAAAAAAAAGTCCTTTTACTCCTTTTTAAGAAATAAGCAATGTGACCTTACCTTCCTGGTTTGAGTAGGGGGCAGTATACCTATAATTTTTAAAAAATTAATGTTTATTTCAACTATGAAAAATAATGTTAATACATTATTCAAGAATTATGTTCAGATTAACATAATTAAACATTCACAGTAGGCATTTTTGAAGAATGAATTTTGCTAATATCGCTTAGAAACAAAAACATCTTTACCAGTTATCACAGATAACAAGTCCTTACCTGGGGACAGTCCATCCTCAGATGACAGTCAGCATTTCAGCGTTAAGAAGCAGTTCACGTCCCTTCTGGTCTCCTGACAAGTACTGTCTATTTCTTAAGGCTGCTTAACCACAAACTTCTCAAGCCATTTTAATTTAGCAGTTTCAATGAAGTGCATAAACCTTAGTGGGAGCCAGGTTGACCCAGAGTCCTCGTTGTGGCGATTCTGAGTCTTTCCAGCAAAATATTGTGAACAGAAAATGAAGAAATTTCTCAGTGGCAGTTACAGAGCCACATGTTGTATTCGTGGGATGGCTGCAAAGGCTCCGGCTTCTCCTCTTCAGACACATGTGTTTATAGGTTTGCAATGCTGTTTTTGAATCTTTTGTTGGATTTTGTGGTGTTTCAAATCCGTGTGCACTGAAGCGTCTCTTGGAAAGTCTTGAATCAACATTGTGATTATTAAGTGGCATTTTACTCCTTAGTCATTGCACATGTTCCCAACCCACACACATCAGTCCCACCCCACAGTGCTCCCTTCTTTGGTGGGACAGGGGAGGGGACACCTAAGTGAGTGGACTCTACCTCTGGGGGACAGGGGTTGAGGAGGGAGACCCCCACCGCTTCAATCTTAGTCTGCCTATGATTATTTTTTTAATTCTCACCAACACAAAGCTGAATGCCTAATTTTTATTTATTTTTATTATTTTATTTATTTATTTATTTATTGTTTTTTTTTTGTAGAGACAGAGTATCACTTTATCATCCTCAGTAGAATGCCGTGGCATCACACAGCTCACAGCAACCTCCAACTCCCAGGCTTAGGCAATTCTCCTGTCTCAGCCTCCTGAGTAGCTGGGAGCACAGACGCCCACCACAATGCCCGGCTATTTTTTGTTGCAGTTTGGCTGGGGCTGGATTTGAACCCGCCACCCTTAGTATATGGGGCTGGCACCCTACCCACTGAGTCACAGGTGCCGCCCTGTTTTATTTTATTTTTTGAGACAGTCTCACTGTATTTCCCAGGGTAGAGTGCTGTGGCATCACAGCTCATAGCCACCTAAAACTCTTGGGCTTAAACGATTCTCTTGCCTTAGTCTCCCAAGTAGCTGGGACTACAGGCACCCGTCACAACACTCAGCTATTTGTTTGTTGCAGTTATCATTGTTTAGCTGGCCTGGGCTGGTTTTGAACCCACCAGCCTTCCGTGTATGTGGCTGGTGCCGTAACTGCTGTGTTACAGGCACTGAGCCAAGAATGCCTAATTTTTAATAGCATGTGCTTTCGCTCCTAAAAGTGCTCCTGATTGGATGATTAATTATCCAGTTAATAAATCCTAGCTATAAGAAAATTGAATTTTTAATTTTAATTTTTTTTTTTTTTTTTTGCAATTTTTGGCCGGGGCTGAGTTCAAACCTGCCACCTCCAGCATATGGGACCAGCGCCCTACTCCTTTGAGCCACAGGCACCACCTGAAAATTGAATTTTTAAAATATAATTCAAGGCAGCCAGAAAAATGAGGAAGATTTATTTTGTTTATGTTAATGTTTTTATTCATTTAATGTTATAATATGATTTTTCACTGTTTAGGAAGTTAGCAAAATTTGCCTAGGTTTTACTATGTACCAATCACTTTCCCAAATGCTTTTCTTATATCAACTCGTATAACCCGTATAGGTGCTGTGTATTTTCCTTTTGTGGGTGAGGGACCAAGTGCAAAGCAGTTGAGAAACTCGGTTGAGAGGACACAGCTGGGGCAGAGCCAAGACGTGGAAGTAGGCAGTCTGTGTGCAGAAGTCCCTGTTTTCAGTTACTGTTGATAACCACAGCTTATGGCAGCCAGTCCCCTTAAAGCTGCCACCTTGATCCTCGCTGTGCACCTGTTAGCCCCGAGCTCTTCTTCCCGGGGCCCTGCTGCCTGCTGAGGCTCCACTCTGCTCCTGGGAAGGCCTGGCTTTGGTTCTATCTCTGGTCAGAAAGGTTCAGGTTTCCTTAGGAATTTTTGAAAGGCTGTTCTGCCATATGTATTTCTAGTTGAATTCACTTCTGTTTTCATTACTCTGAACTTAATTATGTAAAGTCTAAATATGGCAGAACTTAGAAAGCAACATGGTCACAGATCCCACCGCCTCTTTAAAACAAGCTCTTTTTATTTTTCATTGACTTTTATAACTTTTGAAAGACTATGAGGAAATTTTGTTTTGTGTGCCACGGACTGGCAGTTGACACCATAATGAAGGGGACTGAGTTGAATAAAGCCACCTAGTTCCCTTACTTTACCAGGGACTGCAGGGAAATGATTGCTAATGAAACATTGCTGCTCTCTCTCTGCAGCGGGCCCACTGCGCCATCTGCACAGACCGCATCTGGGGCCTCGGCCGCCAGGGCTACAAGTGCACCAACTGCAAGCTGCTGGTTCACAAGAAGTGCCACAAGCTGGTCACAGCCGAGTGCGGGCGCCATGCACTGCCGGCGGTAAGACTCAGGGGCTGCTTTCCTTCTACATAAAGCATGTTGGAGGGCGGTGCCTGTAGCTCAGTGAGTAGAGTGCCGGCCCCATATACCAAGGGTGGTGGGTTCAAAACTGGCCCCAGCCTAATTGCAGCAACAACAACAAAAATAGCCAGGTATTGTGGCAGGCGTCTGTAGTCCCCACCGGTCAGGAAGCTGAGGCAGGAGAATCACCTAAGCCCAAGAGCTGGAGGTTGCTGTGAGCTGTGATGCTACAGCACTCTACCGATGGCGACAAAGTAAGACTCTGTCTCTAAAAAAAATAAAAAATAAAGCATGTTGGAGACCAGGTACAGTGGCTGGCACCTATAATCCCAGCCTCAGGAGTGAGATGTGTGGGTTCCATGAGCTCAGGGGTTCAAGACCAGCCTTAGCATGAGTGAAACCCTGTTTTTTTTTTTTCTTTTTTGAGACGGAGCCTCAAGCTGTCCCCCTGGGTAGAGTGCCGTGGCATCTCAGCTCACAGCAACCTCCAACTCCTGGGCTCAAGCGAGTCTCCTGCCTCAGCCTCCCAAGTAGCTGGGACCACACGCGCCCGCCACAACGCCCGGCTATTTTTTGGTTGCAGCCATCATTGTTGTTTGGCAGGCCGGGCTGGATTCGAACCTGCCACCTTGGGTGTATGTGGCTGGTGCCTTAGCCATTTGAGCCACAGGCGCCAAGCCTGAAACCCTGTTTCTACAAAAAATAGAACTAGCAGGGTGGGGTTGTAGCGCCTGTAGTTCCAGCCACTTGGGAGGCTGAGGCAAGAGTTGGAGGTTGCTGTGAGCTATGATGCCACAACACTCTACCTAGGGTGGCAGAGTGAGACTCTGTTTCAAAAAAAAAAGTAAGAAAATCCTATTTTCTTCAGCATCCAAAAGTAGAATTAGTGGGTTAAATGATACGGTTTTTAAAAATGGTCTGGTGCATCTTTCTAAATTGTTCTCTAGACAATTTGTGTTTATTCATAAGACTTTCGTCAGGCATCGTAAAAGTAGGTTATTACAGGTGGCTCTTTGGGATTAGAATTATTTAGCTAGTCCATATAATGGGTTTGTAGTTAGTGGGACAGTTGTCAACTCCAGGAGATGAAACATATAATCATAATTTATTTAGGCTACTGTTGATATTCTTGTGTATTCTTAAGTAAGAGAATGATTCGTGTGTTCACAGGTACACAAGGAAAGATGGGCAGGGTTAGTGTCACGTGGCTATTTTGTCATGGGGTTCAATGCATTTAAAAATCCATAAAAAAATAAATAGGGTGGTGCCTGTGGCTCAAAGGAGTAGGGTGCCGGCCCCATATACTGGAGATGGTGGGTTCAAACCCGGCCCCAGCCAAAAACAAAAAAAAAAACCATAAGCTTACTTATAAGTCTGTCTTGAAGACAGCCTTAAAATTATAACTGTATAATTAGGCATTTTTCTTAAGTTTACTTTTTCCTGATAGTATTCATTAAATGTGGGTCCAAAATTAATGAATGACACTTTGGGTTTAAATTAGCATTCTTCCTGAGATAAGTCCGTTTCCAGGAGGTATTTCTTTTCCTTTTAGAGGGCTACTAAGACCTTTGAGTGAATCTTCTGAAAAATGAGAAACCCACAAAAATTTACATGTAATTTGAAGAGTGTCCTGGACACTCTTCTGTCTCTGGACCCAGCTCCTCAGCTCTCATTCTGGACGCCCTTTGCCAGAGACTTACATGGAGCTTGAAGGTCTAGGTGGTGGGGAAAGAAACAAGTCAGAGCGTCTGCAGCTCCTTTGTTTCTCCTTGTAGCCTGAAATCCTGAAATTAGTTTTGTGTTCTGTTTTCTGTAAAATATAGCTAACGTTATCTCATTCACAGGAGTATTGCATGGTTTCATAAAATAAAATTATAAGTAAAATATAGTAACGTAATTCTCACTTATTAAGTTAAATTCTTTCACAATTAAATATTAGTGTGCTGTGTCTCATTGAAATAATGTTTCTGGACTTAAAGAGGTATTGGGATTTTACAGGAATCTACTAAGTTCCTTCGTCTTCTCCTGTGTTTGCAGGAACCACTGATGCCCGTGGACCAGCCATCCGTGCATCCAGACCACACGCAGACAGGTGAGGACGAGCCCTGCTCACGACAAAGTAGCATCTCACTGCTGCATTAGGGACTCTGACCTGACTGTAAAGATGTTTATGCTTTTCCCAAATAAAAGTAGGTAAGCATACTTTGTGGTAGTAAAGCCTGTCACAATATGTAACTGACAAGTTTGACTTTTTTTTTCCTAAGACGATGTCTCACTGTTGTCTAGGCAGGAGCACTGTGGCTGAAGAGATCCTCTTGCCTCAGCTTCTGAGTAGCTGGGACCATAGGTACCTGCCACAATACCTGGCTATTTTTAGAGACAGGGTCTCTATGTTGCTCCTGCTGGTCTTGAACTCCTGAGCTCAGTCAGTTCACTCACCTCTGCCTCTCAGAGTGCTGGGATGACAGGCGGAGCCCCACGCCCAGCTACATTTGGCTTTTTTAAAAAACAACTATGTAAACTACAACAAATGACTATTTTTTCCTAACATCTAAATTTCTTTGAGATCCTTTAAAATCAGCAAACTCAGTTGTTTCCTTTTTTTTTTTTTTTTTTTAGAGACAGTCTCACTATGTCGCCCTCAGTAGAGTGCTGTGGCATCACAGCTCACAGCAACCTCAAACTCTTGGGCTTAAGTGATTCTCTTGCCTCAGCCTCCCAACTAGCTGGGACTATAGGCACCCGCCACAGTGCCCGGCTATTTTTTGGTTGTAGTTGTCATTGTTGTTTGGCAGGCACAGACCAGGTTTGAACCTGCGAGCTCCAGTGTATGTGACTGGTGCCCTAGCCACTGAGCTACAAGTGCCAAGCTAAACTCAGTTGTTTTCACAATGAAAAAAACACATAGCTGATCTTGTGAGCTATGTTGTGCTCAAGTGACCTATGTTAATTAAAAGCTTTAATATCAGAAATAGAAATTATGGAAAAGATACTGAGATGCTGTTAGGAAATTCCAGAGCGATGATGTAAGCTCAGTGTTGGGTACCTGACCTTAAGCACATGTCTGGGCTATGCAGCCTGATCTGCTCTGGACTGAGTCAAGCAGGGAAGACAGAATGTGATCTCCCGCCCTGGAGAAGCTGGCTGCTTGACATACGGCCCCGCCCCAAGCAGCTCTCAGAGGTGAAAGTCCATCCTTGTCAGCTCTGCACTTGGCTGACGTGGCCGTCAGGAAAATGCGAAGGGAGCAAGGAATGAAGACCAGGCTGTGTCTGTGCCACAGCACAGTAAAGAGTTAAATGACAGTTTACAGGGTCATCCTTACAGAAGGACATGTTTGCTTAATTTGTAAAGAAGAAAGATGTTTTTGGAAATAGAAACATTTGTTAAATGCAGTAGCTGGCTAGCAGATTATTATCTTTCTCCACTGAAGAGTAGGATCTTGCGGTTACAGTTACATAGCAGGACAGGCATTAGCTTTTAAATAATGAAAACTTATTCAGAAGTAAAAACTAAAAATAATCAAAAGAAAATTTTATGTCAAAGTCATTAATAGATGCTATGTTTTTCTTCCTCCCACCCTTCGTTTTTATCGTTTGGGGTTGGATTTTAGTAATTCCATACAATCCTTCAAGCCATGAGAGTCTGGACCAAGTTGGGGAAGAGAAGGAGGTGAGAACACTTGTTTCCCTGCGCACTCACTGACTGTGTATAAGGGCGACACATGCACTGTCTAGATTGCAGGTCATAATGGTGCAATACAGCAATGATTTGCAATGATTCCAGAGTATTACCCTGCTCTAACTTAGTAATGACTAATTTAAGTTAAATTAGGAAATAATTTAAATTTTTCACCTTAAAATGGATTAATCTGTAACTATAGTGTGCTTGGGACACTCAACTCAGTGCTGTTCACAGAACAACAGTGGGGCAGACGCTTCCGCTCTGTATACTGAGTGCCTATTTATGGTGTAAAATGACTAAGCATGTTAACAGCCACTATTTTTATCTGACTATTAAGCATTTTATCAGTTTTTAAAACAAAACAAATTTTCTATTTAAAATATTTAATTAAAGTAACCTAAAAAAAAACCAAGCTTATGGTGAAAAAGACTACTGTACCTCATGTCTTCCGCTCCTGTTTGACTTCTCAGAGACAAACCTCTTAGCCATTCTAGCCGTGTCCGTAGCTAGACGCCTCTGTTTCTGGAGTTTGTCTTCTCTGGCCGTGAAGGGTACAGGCTGCTCTGCCTCCTCCCTTTCCCGCGTCTCTCCAGAGTTTGATGGTATTTTACATTTTGCTCCTCTTTTGGTTATGTTTTTAAAAGACAGTATTTCTTATTATTGAAAATGTTTAATACCAATAAAAGTAGACAAAACAGTCTAACCACACTCCTGTGTCCATTACCCAGATAAAGCTCTCCCCGCACACGGCAGTCCCGGCCCACCTGCCCCTTCCTCATTCCTGTATGGTTTTGGAACAAATCTGGTCCCCTGTCTAATCTTATATCTTAGTTTCTTCTTCAATTTTTTGTTTTCTTGTTTGTTTGACAAAGTCTCTAGTTCTCACCTTCATTTTTTATTCCGTTTATTTTTAGGTAAAGTGTAATGATGGTACATATTTATGAGGTAGAAAGACATGGGCAGTTGATGAGTCTGCCTGTCACCCTCGAGCAGGGGCTGTGCCCATCTCTGCCCTTCCCAGTCTCAGCACTGCGGCCGTGAGCACTGCCGTAGTCAGTCTCCACTCTCCTGTAGCTGCCTTGGCCCTTCCAACAATTTTTTTTTGGAGACTGAGTCTCACACTGTCCCCTGGGTAGAAGGCTGTGGCATCGTAGCTCACAGAAACCTCAAACTCTTGGTCTCTGCAGGCAGAATGAGGACCAAGACCCCGTTCTTGGCAAAAGGAAAACATCCCCAGAAAAAGGGAAAAACAGAGAAATAAGCTGAGCAAAGCAGAATAAAAACAGTTTAACTAGTTTACAATTAAACCAGCAGCTAACTCACTTCTCTGAGCAGTTCCTGCTTTTTCTGGAAGCCTGGCCTGTGAGGGATATAGCTTACAAACACCCCTGCTGGGTCTGCAGGCTCTCTGACGAACAGTGGCCGTAGCAGAAGTACATCCAGGACCTGGGAAGGAACACTAGCTAGGCTGCCCCTGCCCAGGGGACAGTCACGGCCAATATCCACTGTGGGGATGTGTATTATGGCCAGGGCAGAGATCAAGGGAGCTGCTTGTGAACTATGGGTGGGGGGCGGGGGGGCGGCTTGTACCGTTATAACAGAGGAGGACCCCTCTGGGTGGAGATCAGAGGGAAATTCCTCAGAGGAGGCCTGACACCATCTCGTCTGCTCCACACAGAGGAGCTAGAGGGGTCTAACCTCCCCTGACGAATCTGTGTGACCACAGACAGGAGGCTGCCCCCACACGAGGCTGAGGTTTCCGATTTCTCAAGGCTGCTCAGATTATAAAGTTATTGATTAGAGATCAAATAAGAACTGACATGCTCACTCAGAGGAACTGCTGACGTTTTTGTTCCCTTCTTCAGCTTCCTGTCTGGGTTAAATGAGAAATAGTCTTCAATAAAAGCTGGGTGGAGCAAACACTCAGGCCACTCGCTGGGACCCTGCAAGCTAGCTGTGGTTCCCTGCGTTCCTACCTTTGAAACCTCTATTCTGCGTGTCCTATCTCTTTGTCTCTCACAGCTTTTAACTTTAGGTTTCCTCAGTCAATGGCCAGCAGGTCTTAAAGGACCCTGCCCCAGGGCGGGGCCCCCGGCAGGCTCAGGCAATCTCCTGCCTCAGCCTTCCAAGTAGCTGGGACTACAGGCACCTGCCACAATGCCCAGCTGGTTTTTCTATTTTTAGTAAAGATGGGGGTCTCACTCTTCTTGCCCAGGTGGGTTTTGAACTCATGAACTCAAGGGATCTACCTGCCTCAGCCTCCCAGATTGCTGGGAGTGCTGGGATTACAGGTGTGAGCTGCTGTGCCTGGCATTTGTAAGATTTTTAATATACTTACAGATTGAAGAATAACTTACATACAGAAAAGTGCACAAATCATGAGTATATACCTAGATGAGTTTCCACACAGTGAATGCTAACCATGCAGTGACCACCTCTGGATCCAGTAGGTGCTACTGGCACATCCATCTCATGCCTCCTCCCCAATGCCTAACAATCATCTTAACACAAAGTTGTTTTGCCTTTTCCCCCCCAAACTTTATATAAATGGATTCATAGTTTTTTTAATCTGGCTTGTTTCACTCCATAGTGTTTGTGAGATTCAGCTGTGTTTCATGTTAAGTATTAATATTCATTCATTATTGTTTTCAATTTCTCTCTCTTGTTGATTCCCTCCTATACTGGATTATCGTGGCACAGTGCTGCAGACTTTATTATAAATGTGGTTGGTGCACATGTCAAGGCTCAACTGGGAGTGGAGTTGTTGAGTCATGTGCACATTCAACTTTAATAGATAATGCAAGACACTTTTCCAAAGTACTTGTATCAGTTTACACTTTAACCAACAACATGTGAGGTCCCCTCTGCTCCACATCCTAGCCAGCATCTTGGATAGCCAGCTGGCTGGATGTTCAGTGGCACAGTCACAGCTCATGGCAGCCTTGACTTCCTAGGCTCAGGTGATCCTCCTTCCTCAGCCTCCCTGATAGCTGGGACTGTAATTGTGTGTCAGCACATTCAGCTAATTTTTAATTTTTTTTTTTTTTTTGAGATAGTCTCACTTTGTTGCCCCCAGTTGAGTGCGATGGTATCATAGCTCACAGCAACTTCAAACTCTCAGGCTCAACCAGTGCTCTTGCCTCGGCCTCCCAGAGTGCTAGGATTACAGGTGTGAGCCACCATGCCTGGCCAGGGTCTTGCTGTGTTGCCAGGCTGGTCTCAACCCTCCCAAAGTTCTGGATTACTGGCATGTACTGCCATGCCTATCCTGGTTTTAAATATTAATGATAGACAGTGGCTTATAGTTTTCCCTTTTTGTATTGAATTATCAGGGTTTTGTATGAGGATAACGGTGACATCATAAAACAATCTGGCAAGTGTTCCTTTGTCATTTGGTTTCCAAGAAGAGTTATTGTAAGACACACATAATGGCTTTCTTATGTTTTGAACGATTTGGTAGGAAAGCACTCTTGACCTATAGGGTTTTGTTTGTTTTGTTTTTTTGAAAAGATTTTAATTCTAGATTCCATATGTGAGTGGATTTAAGGCAAATCAGTTCTCTTATTTCTTTTCTTTTTTTTTTTTTTTAGAGATAGAGTCTCACTTTGTCACCTTCAGTAGAGTGTCATGGCGTCATAGCTCACTGCAACCTCCAGTTCTTGGGCTTAGGCGATTCTCTTGCCTCAG